GACTCTGCCTTTTTTGCCTATCCCTTTTTTGTACTTTTGCTTGTCGTTTTGATCTCTGGTTTTGACCTTTGCTTCGTTTACTTGACTCTGCCTTTTTGCCTAGCCCCTTGGTGTTTGTCCACACGCTGATATTATCATCGTTGTGTTTTGCCTTTGTCTTTTGGATTTGACCCACACCTGTTTTTTGACTAAGCCTTTGCCTAACTCTATTAAAACAACTTTAGCCCTTTTTTCTCCGCGAGCATCTGGATTCTGTTGATGTGTCACAACTACTAAGAATTCTGGGAAGCTTTTTCAGTAAAAGACTCTTCAGTGTGTAGGACTGATCCAGATTAGCTCATCTGAACAAGATTAATTTAGTAACTCAGGATTAGACAAGAAAAGGTAAATTACTCGATTTGAATCATTAATTTCAACAGATTAGTAAATAAACACAAAAAACTGAGTGAGGTCAGTTATGACGTTTTACAGGGATCCTCGGTGGGGGTCGCTACAGTGTTTAGTTTATTCTTGCAAAGCCCTGTTCTGATATCCATCCTTATTCCCAAACTGCATTCTGGATGAATAAACAAGCTCCGTATCATTTATTATTTTATTTATTAACATTTATTTAAACTCTGAGTAAATTGAGGGAGACCATCATTTACACTGTAGCCAAGCCAATACAAAAATCAGGGATTGAAAAGTTAAATAGTAGAAACATAACAAATGCTACAAAGTAATAATAGTCATAGCAGTTAAAATACAGCATACAATTACATAAAATTACAACAATATAGTAACTTCCTAAATAAGATAAAAAGATAAAATGAAATAAATAAATAAAATATAGAAGATGTAAAATAATAGCTTGTCAACATTCAAATAAATAAAAACACAGTAATAAAAATGAAACAATAACTAAAAACATACAAAAATCATCAATTTAAAACTTAACTAACATCAAGTAAAACAGTGTCAGGCTGATTGGAGGTGGTTAGAGACTAAAAGTTTAAAATGGTCATGTGACACCAGAAAGCGAAGTTTTAGAGTTTCCTGTAATAAATTCCAGCTCACTGGTGCTGCAGCTAAGGGCAGATTTTCCCAGTTCAGTAAAAGCCCTCAGCACCTGACGGGTGATCCAATTACTGAATGAGTCTGATAACACATTATTTACACAGAGCATTTCTGTGATGTATGATGGCAAACGGTCAGTGAGAGCTTTATAGATAAAAACAAATCAGTGAGTCTCCTGATATACAGACAGAGATGACCTGCTGACCTTTTTTATACAGTACGCAGTGATAGACACTGTATGGGATAGCAGTAATGAATCTTAAAGCAGAGTGGATACAGAGTCTCCTGATACACAGACAGAGATGACCTGCTGACCTTTTCATACAGTACACAGTGATGGACACTGTATGGGTCAGCAGTAATGAATCTTAAAGTAGAGTGGAGTACAGAGTCTCCTGACACACAGACAGAAATGACCAGCCAACCTTTTCATACAGTACACAGTGATGGACATTGAATAGGTCAGCAGTAATAAATTTTAAAGCAGAGTGGATACAGAGTCTCCTGAAACACAGACAGAGAAGATCAGCTGACCTTTTCATACGGTACGCAGTGATGGACACTGTATGGGTCAGCAGTAATGAATCTTAAGGTAGAGTGGATACAGAGTCTCCTGATACACAGACAGAGATGACCAGCTGACCTTTTCGTACAGTACACAGTGGACACTGTATGGTACTACAGGCGCTTTGTGCATGGTTTAGCTGACAAAACTACACTGTTACATAGGTTCATGGATAAGGGTGCTGCATTCCAACTGGATGAGGAGGCTGCATGTTTGTTTGCTAGTCTACATGCCTGTCTATTTGGGGGCCAGTACTGGCATTCCTCTGAGCAGGAGGTGAGTCTGTTGTGGACACAGGCATTAGTGATAAGGGCATTGGCGCTGTCCTCTTGCAGGTACATGATGGAAATAGGAGAGTCATTGCATACTACAGCCGGTGCTTATGCAAGCCCAACAGCAAATGAGTGACACAAAGGGAGTTGTTGGCCATCGTGGTGAGGCTGCGCCATTTCTGCCCATACCTGTATGGCGTCCCCTTCTTTATGTGTACTGATCCCATCTCATTGACCTGGCTCATGCAGTTTAAAGGGTCAGGCTGTGGGGAGGATTGTGGCACTACAGGTGTACAAGTTGACCATCAGACAGCATGCTGGACGCCTGCACAGTAATGGCAGTCCTATCCTGCTGCTTGTGTGCTGCTGATGAGTGTGGGTACTGTGTGTCTCGAAGAGAAAATGGAGACCATTGAGAAGAGCTCTGCTGCCATTGCCTTTGCTTCAGAAGACAATGGACTTGACACGATGAGTTCTGTGTTCAGCAAAAGGACTCCTGACCATACCTAAGCACCTTAGGTATTTAATGTGGGTGTAGTGTTTACTGTAGAATGAAGTTCTATGATTAGAGGTCATCCTCCATGCTATTCTAGCAGTTTTTCAGTGCCCTTTTCTGCTTTGTTCAATGAAAAAAGCATTTTTTCATAAGCAGAAATAATAGCCATCTCTGGCTGTTCTTCACCACTGATGCCACAGCATAATTTAAGTAAAAGTAGATGTTTTCTACTTAGATAAAAACTTATTTACTTATACGTAAGTATAAAAAGTTATAAAAAAGTTGGGACGCTGTGTAAAATGTAAATAAATGTAAATAAAAACAGAATGCAATGATTTGCAAATCTCAAAGACCTTTTTTTTATTCACAATAGAATATAGAACACATATCAGATGTTGAAAGTGAGACATTTTACCATTTTATGAAAAACATTAGCCCATTTAGAACTTGATGGGAGCAACACATCTCAAAAAGGGGCAACAAAAGGCTGGAAAAGTGATGTGATATGTGGTACTAATAAAAAAAACTGGAGGAGCAATTTGCAACTAACACACTGAGACTGAGTTTGAAAAGATCATTTTAGAGAGTCTCTCAGAGGCAAAGATGGGCAGAGGTTCACCAATCTGCGAAAAACTGCGTCTAAAAATTGTGGAACAGTTTCAGAAAAATGTCCCTCAATGTAAATTTGCAAAGACTTCGTTTGCTCTTTAAAAGATGGCAGTGGGACAGGCATCCAGCTTATGTGTCTCAGAACATGATGTCTTCCTCTCCCCCCACTCTTTAATAAGTACATGTGAAGTACGTTTTCCTGAGTCTGCCATAATTTTAAAGAAATTAAAAGCACAAGCACTGCTCACTGCTGTTCGTCTCACTCTGACAGGACTCATGCGATACTCATTGAGGAGGGCCCACTGAAATATCCAACTGTGTATGTGTCCTGCCTTCAAATTCCCTTGGTTCTAAATATTACGTGATTATGTAATTACTGTCTGTTAGATAATGAAGGAGGTGTTGCTGTTCTTCATTAGGAGCTAATGATGATCAGGAACAATATTATAAAGTGAAACACATGGTAACTCATAACTGTGAAATAGGGGGTAATGATCTGGAACAGTATTATAAAGCGAAACACATGGTAACTTACTATTAATTAACAAGGAGCTCATTATAGCAGAGCTATTAGTAATTTTTGAAAAAAGAAATCAATAGTAAATAAGTTGTGAAAACATCCCTGAGTTAGCTAGCTATATCATTGAAAATAATACACCAAACAAATGAAATCAAAATCTGCCGTTACTACTGAAGGAGAAAGACTGAGAGCTGAGACTGATCAGAGTATGTGCTGCTAGTACATTAATTACACATCTTTCTCTTTCATATCTGAGGCACAAAGTTTTACTGCCTATTAGCTTAGCTCATGTTAGCGAAATAAACTAGCTAGCTACCATGTACTCATAACAGAACATCAGCAGTATAACAGTACAACAGTAGTATAAAGTGAAACACGTTAACATGAGTTAACATGTGTTTCACTTTCTACTAACATGTGTAACTAACATTATACTAACATGTGTTTCACTTTAAACACAACTCCTAATGAAGTAAAGCAACACCTCCTTCATTATCTAACAGACAGTAAAAAAAATGATATATATAAAATATAATCCATTATATTGCAGAGACTGCACACTGTGTAGTGCATTTCACTACTGTTAGAAGTGTTGGAATGCACTACACCAGTTAGTAGTTCAGCAGGAACCTTGGAACACTCAGCTACTGAGCAATTAAGGTTGAACTGATAATTTCTCAGTAATTATTCTAAGAAACCATAGTTACTAAGTAATTCTATATGAGACTCTGTAGTTATTGTTTAGTTAATAGTGAACTACCCTAATCATTAGTTCACTATTACCTACTGAGTAGTTATCTAGTAGTCCTTGGTAGTTAAGAGTAGTTAAGTGTTAATGTAGTACTATTCATTTGTTCCTGATTGGTTACTTATTAACTATGAAACAGTATTGTAAAGTGTTAACAAGCATGGGTCTATGAGATTTGCAAATCATTGCATTCTGTTTTGATTTACATTTATTTACTTTTTACAAGGCGTCCCAACTTTTTTTGGAATTGGGGTTGTATTTCTGCTTAAGTTAAAGGACAAAAGTAATTGCTATTGAATGCTCTTAAATATGAAAAGTAAACATACCGTGGTATTATATTTATAATGTGGTAGTATTTTGATGAGCAGTTTCTTTTTAGGTGATCTGCGTAGCTTCAGGTAGGTTGAACTCAGTTTCTTGGGTCTGCTGCAACACAGCTGTGCTTAATAGAATTTATAAGATAATATAACATAATTGTACTAACTCTGTACTTTTTGGTGGTGTAACAGTACATGATTTGATTCATGATTTTGAGTTCAAGGTTCAGTTTTCTCACAATATCTCACTGAAGAAAACTAATCAGTTTCCATGTTGCATAATCTACTAATGAGACAATAGTTCAAAGCAGGAGGAGTCTTGCACATGATATGAACATACTAGGCTGTTGATTGGTGATGGTTTGCAAATTGTGGTGCTAAACACTGTTTGATAATTACCAAACATCATAATATAAAAACATTATAATAAACAATAGTAGCAAACAGAGATGGTTTAAAATCTTGTGAGCCCAAAGAGAAAATGGCAGCAACAATATCAGCAAAAAGATAAAAACTGAGGTGACTGAACACATAACATTTATTTGCCGTTTATTTCATTTATTTTAATAGATTTTATTATAGCTAATAGTAGACAATCCTATATCCTTCATCGCATAATATGTAGATAACAGTAGACTGTTCTATATCATTCATCAGGTAACGTGTAGATAACAATAGATGGTCCTATATAGTAAATCAGGTAATGTGTGGATGACAGTAGACAGTCCTACATCCTCCATCAGGTAACATTTGGATGATGGTAGACAGTGGTAGACAGTTCTGTATCCTCTGTCAGGTAACAGGTGGCTGGTCCTTTATCCTCCATCAGGTAATGTGCATCTTTATATCTAGGTATCAACTCGTATCATACCCGGTTTCTTACAGTATTTTGGGCTCTTTGATGTATATTTGATGTGTATTTGATGTATTTAATGTATATATCAAATATGTTTGCTAAATTATATGAAAAAAAAGTATCTGTCACACTCTCTGTGTAGAGATTATTCTATCTCACACAGTAATACTGAGGAGCTATTACAATAAAACCAGAATCCAGCATAAAGCGATTCAGTGAACGTGGCGTAGAGTGTGTGTAGGTGGTTCAGTGTGTGTGTGTTAGGGGAGATGGTGTAGAAGGACAGAGTGCCGGACCCCCAGTCCAGATACACTCCTATTCTGTTAGAGGGGGAGGGGGAAGCTGGTAGGACAGTTTTCTCATTATTGTGTTTAACAGAGAACCTGTTATCAGAGTAGATCAGACTCCAGGAGTGATTATTGTTTCCAAACACACAATCAGCACTGTCTCCTTTCCTCCTGATTCCTCTGTATGATACTGATATATGAGCTCTATCTCCACTCCACTGAACCTCCCAGTAACAGCGTCCAGTCAGACTCTCCACACTCAGAACCTGAGCATAGACATCAAATCTGTCTGGATGATCTGGATAATGCTGATCCTTCCACACCCGCTCCACCTTTTTGTTCCCCTCAGACAGAACGAGTTCTTTGTACACTGTGTTTGGATCTAGAGTGAGATCACACACATCTGTAAACAAATACACACACAGATTAGAAAAGACAAAAAACAGAGAGAATTTTAATCAGAGTATGTGTTTGTGTGTGTTACATTTCTTCAGTCCTCGTTTAATTCTGATCTTCCCTCCATGATCCACCCTGAAGAACAAACACACACATTTGTACGTCATACATATTTATATGTTATCATTAATTACATAATACATATTCACATACATATTACCATATTACTACTCCCTTTATTCACCACCTGCTCATTCAGAATGTGTTCAGATATTCAAGCTCATGTTTCATTCCAAAAACACCATCACTGTGTGTTGTTAGCAATAAAATGGAATGACCATGGACCGCTACATACTATAAGGGCAGTTTCCTGAATAAGAATAAAACCTAGTCCTAGACTACACCGGATTCTAAATTGAGATTTTCTATTGAAAGGAAAGTATAGTCTGAGACTTGCCATAATCCCTGTTTCTGAAACTGGTCCTGTAGGTAATAAAATTGGCTTATCACAATAACATGACTTTAAATAACATTAAACAGATGTGTGTGTTGTTGCAAAATATATTGCCTAACAGATCTGTTTTCTAGTGGAATTGTGACAAATGAGATTTAGGGAATCAAGACAGATCCATAAGCAGCAATCCAGAATCATAGTCAAAAAGCAGAGCAAAAAGGTCTACACAGTGAAGCAGTCCAAAAAGTTTCTGCGTATCTGTCTTGCAAGCTACTGGTGGAACATAAGCAGCACCAAAATTAAATAAGAAAGCTCTCTTGGAGGGTAGAATGGTTTGCAGTTGATGAAATGTGACTCTAGATGAGTCATATACTGTGTTATTTGACACACAGCGGTATTGACAGTTTAACAGCAGGTAAATTCAGCTCTAAATCCCTCAATCAAAAAGCAGAACACTGAGTTTAGCACATCTGTACACTGAAAACAGTGATGCACTCAACTTTACTGATTCAAATGTGTATGTGGTAATCAGGGGCAGACTTTTGGCCACCCCCTCAAATAGTGATTGCCATCCCAATTCTGCAGTCCTAAAATATGATGCAAAATTATGATAAGCAAAATATATCTAAACATACAATAATACACCTAAACACACAAAGAATGGACATGAACATACAGTAAAAAATCTAAATTTACTATTTAAGAGCTGTTCATTTGAACAAAAATACAATCAGATGCATAAAATCTACACAAGCCTCCATAAAGTTGCTCTGAACACTACATTGCCATTAGAGGAGAGATTGAGTACAGATGGAAACAGTAGCCTTTCTGTGTAAGGTTTCACCTGAAAAAAGTATACTGGATTAAACTCCACATTAGTGCCACCACACAACTACATACATGGCAGTTTAGCAGTAATTTAGTGATGAACATACACACAAGTGTGTGTTGTTAGCTAGACATATGTAGCCACCTTCTCAGCAAGCAAACTAAAAAGAATTACAATAGCTACACTGGTTTCAGTTTGTGACTACACTGGCTACAATTTGGTGCTCTTTACTGCAAAGGCTAAAATGGCTATCTTTAAATATCAAATCAAATGTCTACTTCTGCATATAAAGTCATCAAAGTTAAGATCTAAACAAACTAACAATTTCCATCCTCACAGCGGCAATATACTTTAGCCTACAATAGTTAGTATTAGGTTTTTAAGTCTGCTGTGTTGTCGTTCCTTGACATCTCAGCTGTCTGATGTTGTGTCTGTGGCGAATAGATACATGCTTAGCAGTTAAGGGTGTTGGTCAAATTTACACATTGGCTATTGTTGGCAGAAGTGTTGAAATGGTGACTGCACTGATGGGAGGCTGTAGCCTGGTGTTATGTGGACATAACACATAAATAAAATGTAACTACATTTTCACAGAGCTGAAGCTTCTGATCCATCTTGCAGAGAGGACTTACTGAAGGGCCTGCCTAAACTGGGGATGGAACAAATTAAAGTAGTAGACTCAGACACTGAAATGAAGAAGCTGCTGTTTAGCTGCTCTCGTTTCAGTGTGCACTAAGTTTAGATGGGCTACCAGCTGAATTTTAAAAGTGTTTCTGAAAAATACTTGGAATGGACTTATGAGTATTTTTACATGCTCTCTCGACAATGGAAGGTTACTGATTAGTTGCAGTATTGTCTCTTATTCCAAAAAGAGGATTTGCATCTTTTGAAGACCAGGAGAACTGTGTCACTGTTATGTACCAATTACAAACACTGTGGTAGCATGCCCTAGGAGGAGGAAGGATGCTTGAGGCAGGAGTGACAGTTGCAGCAGACATCTTTTATTTCTAACAACACAAAATCAACAGAAACCTAAATCAAAACCAGCTTCTTAGTGGCCCTTTATTCTTTGACTTTGCAGTTCTCCCATCAAAAACTTTTCTTCTTCCATCTGTTGGCCATTTTTACTCTTTTGGTGTTTCTCTTTTTCTTCCTTATCTGCTCTTTTTAAAGATGTCTGAACATGGAAACCCAGTATCAGCTGGCTCTTGTTAATGGTGTTACTTGTTGCCCCACCTCCCCATTACCTTCTGTGCTCCACAACATAGCAAACAGGGTCAAAAGCCAAGTGTAGTGCAGTGGCTATGTCACAGAACAAGAGGCGGGGCCAAGGACGCAGTGCTTTGTGGCATTCGGGCACTATTCTCACACTTCCTCTTATTTTTGGGGTTCGGACACTGTATGCTTTTACTCTGATTTATGTGTTGCTGGAGGATTGGCTCAGTATTATTTAGAGCTGTTGTTTCAGCTAGATCAACAGAAAAGTCAATGATGTATTAACTATTCTTAAGGTCATTGAAGCTGTATATCAACTTTGATGGTCTACATCTGTTCTTTCTCAAGATTTTTTGGGGTCTTACTGCGAGAGATGCATGCTTTTTTCTCTCTTCTGCCAAACTGATTTCCTGATTATGAGTACCTGTTTAATGTTGTTTATTAAATTTCTGGGTATAGCAGACGAGTTCTGGTTGGCAATGACCTCACAGCATTAGCACTGTGGCATATGTTATCTGGGCTCATTCCACCTGAAGGACTGATTAATAATGTTTAGAGAGCTATTTTTTTCCTGAGTTGGCTCCACTCGTCGACTTCTTCACTGTTGTGACGACAGGCTAGTTGAAGTTTTTGCCCGTGTGTTGGAACAACATGAACATGATTGTAGTCGGAATGTCTGAGAGTCACGCACATTTTTAACATTGGTGTAGCAATGATCAAAAATATTCCCTTCTTTTTTGCCACACATGACATGCTGTCTCTATTTGGACATTTTCCTCATTATATTTATGTGGTTAAAATTATCCAGAATGATGAGTAATAAGTTTAGATTTTCTCTTTCTACTTTCATTATCTGATTGACCAGCAGTTTCTGCGCATCTGTCTTGCAAGCTTCTAGTGGAACATAAACAGCACAAAAATGAAATAAGAAAACTCTCTTGGAGAGTAGAATGGTTTGCAGTTGATGAAATGTGACTCTAGATGATGACTTTAACAGAACCATGATGTCTTTACACCAGCATTCACTGACATGAAATCAGACTCCTTCTCTCCTAGTTTTGTTAGTAAGCTCTGCATTTCTGTCCACTCTGTACAGCTGGAAGCTGGGAAAGTGTAGTATACTATCTGAGGTTAGCACAGAAAGCCATGTCTCTGTAAAGCAGAGGGTAGATGAGGTTGAAAAGTCCCTGTCAATTTTGTTGAAGTACTTCTTCTGTTTTGTTGCATATAGATTGCAGTTCTTCTGTTTTGTTGCATATAGATTCCAATAAAGGTGTTCAAAATCTATGCAGTCTCAGGCACATGAGTGCGCCCATGTGACTGCCTCTCCTTCACCTCATCACAAGGCTGAGCAGAGCCAGCGCATCAGCTGTCAGAACTTAAAAAATATGGAACTTTTTTTCAAACTCTGGAATGATTTCAGGTGAAACATTTTTCCTGACGGTCAAAAACTCTTCCCTGCTCCAACAGACTGAGTTTGATGTATAATAGGTAACATTAACAAACAAAAACAAACACAAAACATAAGAGGCACCATCCACAGCATCAATCAATCAATGTAGTGGTTTCTGACAAAGAAGTTTATTACTGAACAGTAAAATATTTGTTAGTGTCTTGAGAAACTGTTAACAGTGAGGAACCAACAAATCATTACTGAACAGTAAATATTTTGACTTTGTATAAATTTGTATGAATGCAAACAAAAATGCATTCACAAAACAAAAACAAAGATAAGTTTAAAAAATGGAACTAAGAAGTATTCAGACACCACAAATTAGTTTTTAGTCATAAAGCCATTGCTGAACATTACAGCTTTGAGGAGACTACAGTAAGAAATAATTAATTTTTCACAGCATTCTGGTTGAATTTTGGTGCAGTCCTTTTGGCAAACCATCTTTGGTTCCCCTTTATATTAAGTGCCATTTAATGTTATTTATTAATAATATTAATGGAAGTTACTCTTACTATTTAATGAATGAGAATAACAATTCACCACCTCAACATAAAGACACACACATCTACAGGAAAACATTAATCAGTGATGTGTATAATGTATATAATTACAAGTCAGTCTGTGTCTAGAGACAATTAGAAACTTACTGCAGTTTCTCCAGTGTGCAATGTGGATCCTCCAGTAGATCAGAGAGTAGCTTCATGCCAGACTCTCCTGGATGATTATAGGTCATATCCAGTTCTCGTAGGTGGGAGGGGTTTGATGTCAGAGCTGAAGCCAGAGAACAACAGCCTTTATCTGTAACCATGCAACCAGACAATCTGCAGAAAGGAAGGAAAAAGAGGGAAAGATGATATTTATATACAGCATATAGAACAATACAGAATGAACAAAGCAATGTTGTTCATTCTGCAATGTAATTTGCCTACATATGAAGAAATTAAATAGTAATTATAGCATGGGCAAAAGTGTGAAAATCCTTTTATTTTTAAAGTCTCAAAGTGCAAAATCAATTTTACAATTTTGCTAATGAACTCAAACAAGGGATGGATGATGCAAGTATTGTGGAAAAAAATTTATTTAAAAGAGAAAACTCAAAAGGTGATAGTAAATGGATCCACTGGATCTCCACAGAGCTGTGTACTTTCAACTCTGTTGTATGTGTGGTAGCACTTTATGGTACTGTAAATAACCAGTATTTAATAGGTTTTAATAGGTTACTTTAATAATAATAATAATTTTCTGGTACATACTTTACATATAGTTATTTAAATAAAAAACTACTATGTACTTTCAGCTGTACTTATTTAGAATTTAGGTAAATTATGAAGTATTTACAAAAAAATGTTTGCATATGTACTTTGTACATACACTATATTGCCAAAAGTATTCACTTGTCTGCCTTCACACACATATGAACTTGAGTGACATCCCATTCTTAATCCATAGGGTTTAATATGATGTCGGCTTACCCTTTGCAGCTATAACAGCTTCAACTCTTTTGGGACGGCTTTCCACAAGGAGTGTGTTTATGGGAATTTTTGACCATTCTTCTAGAAGGGCATTTGATGACAGTCTCTTTGCACTGATGTTTATGACAGTCTCTTTGCACTGATGTTCTTACCCAGAGCAAGGAATGGGTGTTTTGAGGTAGCCATGATGAGTGGTGTTAGCAGAGAGCATGTGGGCAGCAACACAGACATTGGTGTGTGCACTCCAAAGGTCTTGTTTATGCACTGCTGAACCATATCAAGCCAGGTCTCATGGATACTAATGCTCCATTTATAAATAAACTGTGTAAGATGCACCATGGTAGCATTACTTTAAAAGTTGAGAAGAACAGAAAGTAAAAGGTTGTGTGGTTTACCACATGCAACCCACTTTGTCCCCCCAACTCAGCTTTCTACTTCTACAGTGATTAAGATCCCATATAGCAAATGAACATGCAAATGAAACTATATTTTAAAGGCACAGCATACTTTGTCACAATGTGTCTCCACCAATTGAAATGGACAAGTTGAACCTGGAGAAAATTACAGTAGATTCTCTGTCAGATTTGGCATTTGTTAGTGTGCAGTCCATCTAACCTAAAAATAGGCTGAAGTTGTCAATAAAGTTCAGTCAGTTTGACCTGAGTTTTTATTTTTCAAGTGCATAATCCAAGTAGCCTTGAGAACATGCAGGCAGAGGACCACTGATCATTGCACATCGAGCTTGCAAAGTATGTTAAAGAAATCACTAAAGTTTCTTTTTAATACTTTAGACTGCTGTTTCCTCATGTCATTTTTACCAACATGAACAATGATCAACTTCACTGTTGTGTATTCAGTCAGTAATGTAGGAAGCTTTACATTCAGTTTGGAGAAGTGGTGTTTGGCTCACATCAACCTATGAGATCTTGTTTTTTCATGCCACTAATAGAGTCATCCCCAAAAACAAAGTTATCTACTGTGGACACAGACTGGGGCTCTGTGGTCCTACTGGAGCCCCTACTCCTTTTCAATGTGTGTTAGGATATCAGCCCCCACTAGCACCTTGGACTGCAACCCCCTCGGACATCCCAGCCGTGGATGACTGGATGAGACGCAGCAAGGAGGTCTGGGAATAGACTCATTGTAACATCGAGGTGGCTTTCCAGTGTGCCAAGGAGCAAGCAGACAAGCATTGTGGGGAGACCCTCGCCTATTAGCCGAGAGACTGGGTTTGGCTGACGACACGGGATCTCAGGTTTGGGAAGGGTAGTCGTAAGTTGCAAGTAAGTTGTCCATTTCAAGTAGTCAAAAGAATCAGTGATGTTACTTACACACTCAATTTGCCCATCCAGTTCTGTATTCCATTCTCATTTCATGTTTCCCACCTGAAGCCAGTGGTCCCTGGGCTCTTGGACGAGGCATCACCAGATGGAGTGCCACCTGAGCCTCTGAAGATAGAGGGCACGCTGGTCTATGCCGTCCATCAGGTGCTGGACTCCCAGCGACATGGTGGAACCCTACAATACCTCATTGACTGGGAGGGATATGGACCAGAGGAAAGGAGCTAGGTACCGGGTAAAGATGTCCTGGACCCTGGGCTGGTGGCGGACTTCCACACTAGGCATCCAGAGGCAGCCCCTCATCCTAGAGGACATGCCAGGAGAAAGATCTCCAGTTCCTGTCCGGTTCATCCCAGTGAGCCGGTACACCCCCGTAGTCCGGGTCATCCCAATAATCCAGTTATTCCCAGTGATCCAGTTCCTGTCCAGCATCAGGAGGCTTCCGGGGTCTCGCCCTCTGATGCCTCCAGTCGGGTAGGTGGTGGTTATTGCGGGTGCCCTCATTCCTCAGCAGTCCTGGACTCCTTGTGGGGGGGTACACCTCCCTCTGGCACGTCTGGAACTGTAGCCAACTCTGCCACATCAGACTACCCCTTTTGCTGTCTCTTGTGACTCATGACTCCATCAGACCAATCTATCAGCGCTTAGCTTCACCAGACTACTGATCACACACACACCTGTTCCTCATTTCATGCCTGTGTTAGTTTAATATTTATGCACGGGCTTTAGTTTAGGTTATTGCAAAGTATCATCTCAGAATGAGCATACTGAGTGTTCTCTCCTGTTTGTTTACCAACTTCCGTGTATGACCTGTTTTTCTGTTTTAACCATGATTTTTGCCTTGCCCTTTTGTCTTGTTGTGGATCTCTGGTTTATAACGTTTTGCTCTGGCTTTTCAACTGTGTTTTTGAATCATCCTATTGTTATTAAAGATCTTAACAGCAGCCTTTTCTGCAAGCGTCTGTTTCTGTCTGCCACCATTATAGTTGTTGTCAAAGTGTAACGCTGGGTTTGCAAATCAGACACGTGCGGATAAAAACGAACCCGGAAGATTTATTTAAAAGGATATAAACAGGGTTAACACCAGACCAGGTCAAAAACCAGAAGAGCCAGCTACAACACATAGGAGTAGGCGAAAACGGAGTTGAAAAAACAGGCGAGGGTCGTAACCGTAGAAGAATCATACACAAAGCAACAAAGCCAAAAACAGGAGCGAGAATCGGAAACCGGAGAAAACAAAGCGAGGTCGAAACACAGAACAGCAATCAGGAATATAAACGGCTTGGTACGCACTGACGGAACAATGGCAATACTTCGCAAAGATAAGGTTCAAACAGACAGGTATATATACAGATCAAAACAGGTGGTGAGGATTAGTATTCAGGTGACTGTGATCTACTGGGTGGTTTGTGATTGGCTGGAAGAGTCTCATGACTGACAGAAGGATTCTGGGAAGTGGAGTCCTTGATGGTACGAGTGTTCGACTGAGGACCAGGAAGCGTGACACAAAGATCTTGGTTTCCTTACTATTTTGTGACTTTTTCAATATTGTAACTTCTCCAGCAGTTCAAACTAGGTCTGTCCATGTAAAGAAAACGTTTCCAACTGAGAATACTAGGTAGCTGTTTATGAAGGCTATGGATAATATGCCATGCATAATACTGTATTTTACTGCCAAATTTAATTCTAAAATTGCAAATGTTATTGATGCTTTGGCACTTGGGAAAACCAAAACAATTTCTGGAAGGCAGAAAGTGCCATTGTGATGTAGTCTGGTAGTAAAAACCCAGAAAACTGAATGCAGGAACGGGGATGCACTAAACTTCAAATTGACTAAGTTTTAAGAAGAGAGACTAAATAACTGCAACTTAGAAATATGGAAAGTCAGGCAGTCTTGCTCCTCTACCAGCATTCCCACACTCTGATACTCCTTGTGCAGTGAATACCAGTTTTGAAACTCCAATAACAAGCTCCAAAAACTTTTTTTTCCAAAACTGTAATGGGGCCTGGCTTATGCAAGAATTGAACTGGTGACTTTCTAGTTGTTAGACTAGAATACTAAGGAGTAAATCACTGGCCAACTGCAGGGATAGCTTCAAGCGCAGAGCAGTAGTGGCTTAAAGCATGATAGCAAACAGCTTAAGTAAAAAAACCAGCCCATAACAGACTGATTCTTAAGGTGACCACCTAACACGAAAAAAAATGTCTAAACTCCAAAAAGCTTGAGGTGGTTCTAGACTAGAACGAGAACTGAACCACTGACTGCTGAGATGAAAGACCAGCATGCAATACAGCATGCCACTGACAAGAGAGTGGGGGCAAGGAAACAAAGGGCGATAAATGAAAGAAGCCAAAACCTCAAATGTTTTTGAGCACTATATTATGTAATATATATATGTATATGTAGTGTAAATTTTATAATATATATTATATTCTTTTTTTTACCTTTCACGAGAGAGACCTTCTAGAAGGACATAAATACACTGAGTGTCTATCTCACCAGCTGACATATTTGTTCTTGTTTGTGACAAGAATAAAAAAAGTATATGTTCTATTAAATAATCAATTACTACAATGATCTTGTTCAGTAAATCACATAGATGTAAATATGGTGATGCATCTGCTTTTGTAGAGCTAGAATACCTAGGAAAAAAATCCAGTATACTGGATTTTGGAATGAGGAGATTAAATGATATCTTGAAATAATTATGATTACACAGTTTTGATAAAAGTCAATCTAATTGTGTAACACAGCGTGATGTAAGATTCCTTATTTTCTTTTAGGTTACTGGTTGTTATTGTATTTAAAAAGTTATTCTATAGTTCTTTTCTTAACATTTTAATCCATGATGTGCCCATTTTTAACTTTCAGCAACTGCCCCTTTATGGGCCTCCTCATGGTTTTGCATTCAAGCATGGTGTTTATGATGAGCAGCCAACCACATGAAACAGGAAGAGGAGTCACTAAAGAAGGAAAATGAAATCATACTTAAATATGTAGCATATATA